CAGCATCTCCATTTCCTATCGAGGACAGGAGCACATGTCAGGGATGTGGACATTTGTCATTTTACTGTAATGAGCTTAGCATGGCAGGCTTCTGGAAATCAGGGAATCTTCAGTGGCTTTTGAAGTGAAGTTTATTGGGGGAGGATGGGGAAAGGCATGTAACAGCTTTTCCATCAGAGGGTTTTGGTTCTTCTGACCATGGCAAATAGTCTAGGAATGAGTAGTGGTAGGAGGAAGGGTGCCCACATTACCATAATGCCTTCAGGAATTAGGCTTGCCCTTACCATGCCTGCGGATACATTCTGCCTTGGAAGGAAAGCTCTAAGTAGCCCATAGCACTTGACGGTCATAGCTCAGCTCCTTTTTTAAAAGATTGGAGAGTACCCTCTATCTTTTAGTTAAACCCTTCCCTTTCCCACCTTTGCCCATTCAGATGCGTGAGAAGTTGATGCCTACTGAGATGTCATTTAGTAGAATGATAGACACAGACTATAGACTTCGTCCTTATCCCTCCTTTGGTGGCTTGGTCAACTTGTTTGCAATTAGGGGTGCTTATTACAAGAAACAGAAAAGGAGAGTCATAAAAACCTCCCAAATCACCAGTGTGTCATCTTAAAGAACGTCATTTGACCAAGAATATACTTACTGCATTTATTTTATTTATTTATTTTTTTTTTTAATTTTTTTTCAACGTTTATTTATTTTTGGGACAGAGAGAGACAGAGCATGAACGGGGGAGGGGCAGAGAGAGAGGGAGACACAGAATCGGAAACAGGCTCCAGGCTCTGAGCCATCAGCCCAGAGCCCGACGCGGGGCTCGAACTCACGGACCGCGAGATCGTGACCTGGCTGAAGTCGGACGCTTAACCGACTGCGCCACCCAGGCGCCCCTATACTTACTGCATTTAAATGGTGATGTCAAAAGAATAGAATTTAAAAGTAGGTGCAAAAAATATATATATATTTTTTAATGTTCATGTATTTATTTTGAGAGAAAAAGAGAGAAAGTATTTCAAGCAGGCTCCACAAGACAGCCGATGTGGGGCTCGATGCCACAAACCATGAGATCAGGACCTGAGGTGAAATGAAGAGTCCAAGGCTCACCTGACTGAGCCACGCAGGTGCCCCCCGCAAAAAAAATTTTTTATTAAAAAAAACAGTAAGTAAAAGTAAATGAAGATAGAATTTGCTCCCTAAGCTACAGGAAAACATTCCCTTCACAAAGCCCTGCCTCTAGGTGTCTGCAGATGGAATGTACAACATACTTGTTTTATTCAAGATTAAACTAGAAAAAGAGGACACTGTGACTCTTGTCCATAACCGTAGATGGATTCTGCATTAATGAAGTTTGATGCAAACCAGCCTATTCTCATATTTGAAGGAGAAAAAAAAGTAAGAAACTTGGGTTGAGGGTCAGGAAACATGGATTTTAATGCCGTGTATAACCTTTAGGTGTCAGCTGGGCAAATGGTACAATTTATAGTTGGGAAGTCAAGGCATAGATTTATGCTAGTTTTGCTCCTAGTTACTGGTGGGCTACTGCTTCTCATAGCACATGGACGCACTTTGAATACTCATAAGTTGAATAGAACAAAGGAAAATTTGGGTTTGGGGGCTGGGGGAGGAACATAACCTAGTACTAAACACATTGGTATGTATTCTCTTAATCCTAAATGAGCAAAATCTGACAGTTATATTTTGCATTTAGGCATCTCTGTCTCTCTCTTTTCATATTTTCATTTGATCAGAAGTAACAGTTGTTTCGTAATGAGGCTGATTATAATCTCTTGTCTAACCTCTTGCCTTCTCTCATTGCTGCTTTCTTAAAACTTCATTTTTGGTGACGAGCCAACTTCTACAAGGGCAGCTCCAGGAAGAACAGAGGCAAAGTTCAACCAGTATTGCTCCCCAGGAGGCTCCGTATTGTTTCCCCAGCTTTCTCTCTCACACACACACTTTTTTTGTTTTTCTTTTTTCTTTTTTTCTTTTTAGAAATTGCTGTAGTCTTTGTAACTAAACATAAACTAGTACAATCAAGCTTTTCATTTGTTTACAAACACCATGAATGGTTTGTTTAGGGAGGACCACATCCTTTAGTTAAACCTGAGGTAGAGAAATGCACTGCATGTTCAGGTTTATTCTAAGGTTTGGTTTCCAGGAAGTCTGCTTTTTCTCTGGGGCCTTATTTTATAGCACTTACTTTCATCTGGAAATCAATTGCTGTTTCTCTTACACTTCTACATTATCTTTTTTTTTTTTTTTTTTTTTTTTTTTTAATCTGTAGGTGCTACTCAAATCTAGGGAGATTAAGCCCCGTCTGCAGAATAATTCACACCGTGGACTGAGTGGAGTCAAGCATGTTGGGCAGCAGGGAGCCTAGGGACCCCACAGTGGCACGCTCGCAGCTACCATTATACCGAGTTTCCTAACCTTCTGCTGGAAGGATTCCATGAGTTACTAAAAGGGAATAGCCTGCACATGGAAACAGATACTACAGAGGAAACAGTGTATCTCAGCACACCAGGGTGGTGTGGAAAGAGACGCGGCAGCCATTGCGAATCTTGTCACTCTTCCCTTCTTTGTCAGGAAGCTGCTGTGGCCTTCCACTTTCTCTGGCGCTTAGGGCATGTCCACCCTGGAATAGATATAGAGCTGGAGATACTCTGGAAGAGAGGAGCAGTGCTGTCGGTCCAGAAATTTAGGACAGTGGAAGATCACTTAATTGCCTTTGAAGTGAATCAAGCATTTACTAGAAGTTTGTTTCTTTAAATAAAAATTGAACATTTTTAATTTATGTATCTGAATCTTGCCTCTCTCCACAAAGAATTAGAGGCAGCTTAAATTGCTTAATTTTGCCTTAAACATTGTGGATACTGGAAGAAGGTATAGACGCTTGCAGAGTGAAAAACTGACGTGGAAACGATAGGCAATGCTAGGTTTCAGGCGGAGAGTAAGGAACGGGCTCTTAGGGAAATCTGCCCACATGCTAAATGGGATGGGAGCAAAGCTACCCAGGAGCTCCTGGTTTCACTGCACATTGTTTGCTCAGCCACCGTCCATGTTGCCTCTGCTCCCACTCTTCCCGAGAAATGGCTCAGGGCTCCAAATCACCTGTTTTTGTCACATTTAATAAGTACACTGTGGATTGGTGTGAGTCTAGTTTATTTGCCACAGAAGGATCCTCACGTCGGACTGTGCAATTTAGTGGTTGCATCAGTCATTTTGAATTTTCCTTAGTAATTTGTGTTTTCTCTCAAGCTCCCTTTTTTCCTTTTTCTGACATGGAAAGTTTTGTATACTGGTATTTGAAGCTTTTGAAACTTTTTTACTTGGGGCTCCTGGGTGGCTCAGTCGGTTAGGCGTCTGACTTTGATGTCAGCTGAGGTCATGATTCACGGTTTGTGAAATCGATCTCCACATCGGGCTCTGCATTGATAGCATGAGCCTGCTTGGGATTCTCTCTCCCTCTCTCTCTCTACTCCTCATCCATGCATGCTCTCTCTCACTCTCTCAAAATAAATGAATAAACATTTTTTTAAACCCAACTTTTTTACTCTTACATAAGGAAGAGTTTTTACTCGGTCACCTTTTCAATTTTTTTCATAGACTCAAAATCTTTCAATACTATTTTTTTCTTTTTTTAAGGCATTTTTTAAAAGAATTCCTTTTTAAAAAATGTTTATTTTTGAGAGAAAGAGAGCATGCAAGCAGAGAGAGAGAGGGACAGAGGATCTGAAGCAGGCTCTATGCTGACAGCAGAGAACCTGATGTGGGTCTCGAACTCACACTCTGAGATCATGACCTGAGCTGAAGTTGGACACTGAACTGACTGAGCCACTCAGGTGCCCCCCTTTGTATATCTTTTGTATTTCCTTTAATCCTGTGGTGCTTGGTAATGTTAAATAATTGTTATTCTTTCATTTTAGATGACATAAATATTGCAGCTCTTTTTGGAAATGAACAAGTCAGTGAAGATACAGATAATGGTGATCTCACTTCCTACGTGTCTGCATTTATAGAAAAAGAAGTTGGAAATGACCTTAAATCTTTAAAGAAACTTGATAAACTCATAGAACAGATGACAGAAAATAAAATGCAGTTAGAAGAACAGGCAAGTACTAAAACTCATTGAAATAATACCAGAATTGTTCAATGACATAATATAGACACCACCATTATTATATATCACTGTTGTTCTAGGGAATTTTGAAGATACAGATTATGACAAATAGTCTAGTCATTTAAAACTGTTTAATAGGTTTTAAGGACCTACAATGTGCTAGGTACTTTACAAATTATGTAAAAGACAAAGTTCCTGCTGGTCTGATTTAGGTCTTAAAAACATAATGACAGCTAACATGAAAAAAATTGTTTTTTAATGTTTATTTGAGAGAGAGAGAGAGAGCGCGCGCGCGCGCGCACATGCGGGGGAGGGGCAGAGAGCTAGAGACAGAATTCAAAGCAGGCTCCAGGCTCTGAGCTGTCAGCACAGAGCCCAACTTGGGGCTTAAACTCACAAACCGTGAGATCATGACCTGAGCTGAAGTTGGCCACTTAACCAACTGAGCCACCCAGGCACCCCTGACAGCTAACATTTTAAGGAGTTTTTCGTACAGTGACTTTTAAAGTCAAGGAAGTAATTCATGGTGTACAAAAATGTCATAACACCATCATTCCAAACTTTTTATATGTGCGCTCATGAGGAGAAAACCTGAAAATAAGTATGACATAATAATGGTTATTTCTGAGTGGTTGGTTAACAGGTGATTCGTTTTCTTTACATCTTTCTGTATTTTCAGGTGTTTTCTTTTTACAGTGAAATTATTACTTAAAATGGTGTTTAAAAAACCCAATGAATGTAATCTTAAAAAAATAAGTGGATCCATTTACTTGCAACAGTGTGTCAAGGATAAAAGATTCATATCATGTAACTGCTACATTGGGTTAAGTGTGTGGTATGTTCGTGTGTTAGCCCTGGGTTGATAGCCATCCTGTGTTCCCCCATCCCCACCCCCTCAGCCCTCACCTTTCCGGTTTTTCCACCATGTCTGCCCTATTCTCCTAAGCATGGCCCAGCCCCACCCCCTCCGTCCACACCTGGCCAAGCTGTAGTGGGCTCTCTGAGGAAGTCACAGGCTGAGCGGATGGATGCCAGCCCTGATATGTGGTCTCCAGGGCTCCTTCCTTGGGAAGGTCGGCTCCTCTGCCACTCCCCTCATTTGTTCTTACAAATTCTCCCCAGGATACCTGCCCCATCTGGCCATTCTGTCTTCCCAAATAGAAAAGATGAAGGCCGCTTAGCATGACTCTATTGAACAGTCTACCCCACATTCCACAAACTTCTTTGCAGCCATGTCTACTTCTTAATTCAGCCGAAGATCAGTCTACGGCTGTCCTCGTGCCTCAGATTCTACCTGCCACCGGAGTGATGTTGCTTCGTGGTTTTATAGTTTCCTCCTCTGCTCCTCAGCCAGTCCTGTCCCCTCAGCGTAGGGACACGCCCACGGCTCTTCCTGAAAACAGAACACTCCCCCCTCATCTCTTAGCCAGTGCTAGTCCCTCCCTTTTGTTGTTAGGCTTCCTCAAGAAGTCCCCTTTCTTTGTGTCTGTCTCCACTTCCCAACCAGGCTTGTTTCTCCGATGACCCCGGAAGCTGCTGCCAAAGCCCCTAACTGAACCTTAAATTCAGCATGTCCCAAACTGTACTGCTCTGTGTCTTCACATGCTTCCCTTTCTTGGAAAATGGCGCCACTATCTGCCTGTCACCCGGGCCTGAAGCCTGGGAACCTTACTAAGATCGCCGGTCATCCTGCCTCCTCTATCCCATCTCCAGAACATCTGACCTTTGCCCCCTTCCTGTCTCTGCCCGCCACCCAGTTCACCCAGTTTAGGGCTGCAGCCTCTCACACACTGGATGGCAGTTTGCCCGTCTTCTGCTTCCTTCCCATCCCGCAGTAACCATCGCTCATTTTTATCCATTACAGAAATGATCTCGTGTGAATAAGCAAATATATATATAGTTACAGTCTTTTCTGTATTGTGTAAGCGCGTGTATACTTAAAATATGCATGGCTTAACTTTTTATAATTAATGTAATACATGGCTTGCTTTCCTATCAATGTATATAGATCTCTCTTTTTGAATGGTTTTATGGTATTCAACTATGGTTGTACATAATTTAACTAGGCCCTTACTAGTGGACATTTTTGCTGTTTCCACTTTTTAGTACTACAAATAATATGAGAATAAACATAATTGTTTATCACGTTACCTTTTTTTTTCTAGATTTTTTATTTTAAGTAATCTCTATACCCAACACAGGGCTCGAACTTACAACCCCTACATCAGGAGTCTCGTGCTCCCCCAACTATGCCAGCCAGCTGTCCCTGACTTTCCAAATCATAAATCTAACTGAATGATTCCCTTATTAAAAACTCTTAATGGTGGGGCGCCTGGGTGGCTCAGTCGGTTGAGCCTCCGACTTCAGCTCAGGTCATGATCCTACCGCCTTGTGAGTGAGTTCGAGCCCTATGTCAGGCTCTGTGCTGACAGCTCAGAGCTTGGAGCCTGCTTCAGATTCTGTGACTCCCTCTCTCTCTCTGTCTCTCCCTTGCTCATGCTCAGTCTCAAAAAATGAATAAACGTTAACAAAATTTTTTTTTAAACTCTTAATGGCTTCCCATTGCCTGCTGGAAAAAGCCCACATCCTTCTAAGGCACAAGATGCTTCTCTGATCTCGCCTCTCCCTACCAATCTAGGTTTGTCTCTTCTTTTTTTTCTTTTTTTCTTTTAACATTATTTATTTATTTTTGAGAGACAGAGGATGAGCAGGGGAGGGGCATAGAGACAAGGAGACACAGAATCCAAAGCAGGCTCCAGGCTCTGAGCTGACATCACAGATGTGGGGCTCGAACCCATGAACCTCAAGATATGACCTGAGCTGCAGTCCGACCCGACTGAGCCACCCAGGTGCCCCTAGGGTCGTCTCTTCTTTCTATGTGTTCTTGAACTGTATTCTGTGCCTTACTCAGCTTTGCTGGTCTCTCATCATGACTGAGCCGTTTCTTTTGTCTGGAATGTCCTTTCCTTCCAAAGTTCCCCAGAAAATTCCCACCGGCCCTGTAGAGGTCTTTGCAGGAGCCATGTAAGCCCAGTTGCCTTGCATCTCAGCACCTCATTATCCAAAGCGTGGGAGCTTGTTGGAAATGCAGAATGTCAGTCCCTACTTCAGACTTAACAACTCACATTTGCATTACACCAGCTGTCTAGGCAATTCCTGTGTACATTCAGGTTTGGGAGGCACTACCTTCAGACACCACTGTACCTAGCATCTATCTTTTATTGCATCAGTCCCATAATACAGTAGTTATTTGCTTCCATTTCTCTTCCATATGAACTGAGCTTAAGGGCAGACACCATTTCTTATTTATCTGTTCCTAGCACAGTGCTTCGCACAAAGTGTCTAATCAGTCTTGATTCAATTGAAATTCCTCTAGAATAGTCTTTATGTTGTATTGATACCTAATACTTGTATATGTTTTTCCATGTGCGAGAAGAAGAATTAGTAAATACCACATCTAAAGGCGTTACCTGTATATTATCTTCCCAAGTCAATGGTTCTTGCCGTAGACTTCAATCAGAATCACCAGGGTCACTTTTGCAACAAACATGTACTCAGACTTTTAGAATAGAACTTCATTTGTTTTTGAAGGAAAGTGTTTGGTAGATAAAGCATAAGAAAATTCTCTGTCTGGACCCTCTGAAAGTGCTGAGCTTCATGAAAGATGCAGAGGTGCTTACAGGGGCATCTGCTGCTGCCCACACATCCCCCCGTACGGCATTTTGTGTTTAGGTTTGGTTGGTGCAGGAGGCAGAAATCGCACCTTTCTTTTGAAGCTTATAATTGACAATTTTCAATTCTTTTAGAACAAACATGTATTTTGAAGATGATAATCTAATTAAAACATTACAAGGGGGCTCCTGGGTGGCTCAGTCAGTTAAGCGTCCGACTTCTGCTCAGGTCATGATCTCGTGGGTCTTGAGTTTGAGCCCTGCATTGGGCTCTGTGCTCAGAACCCACTTTCCGATCCTCTGTCTCCCTTTCTCTCTATCCCTCCCCCAGTGGTGCTTTTTCTCTCTCAAAAATAAACATGAAAAAAAAAGTGTGAAAATTTTATCTGATTGCTGCTGTTTTTTGTTTTTGTTACAATCAGGTACTTACAATTTCATCAGAAATCCCTAAAAGAATTCAGAGTGCCTTAAAAAATGCAGAAGAATCAAAGCAATTTCTTAATCAGTTTCTGGAGCAAGAAACTCATCTCTTCAGTTCCATTAACAGCCATTTGCTGACCGCACAGCCCTGGATGGAAGATCTGGGGGCCATGATTAACCAAATTGAAGAGATTGAGCGCCATCTTGCTTACCTTAAATGGATTTCACAAATTGAAGAACTAAGGTAAAAAGGGCTTCTTTGTTCTCATAATTATTATTTTCCTTTGAGGCTCTGTCTTAGCAGTGCATGCATGCCATTAAATAATTGAGTTAATTAAAGATTATAATAATGTAATTTTCCTGGTTGTTATGAAAATAGTATTATAATGATTCTTTTCCTTTTTTGTGAATGAACATAAACTTTTCAGGGAGCTTAATTTGCATTTGAAAGAAAGTGATCTAAGTAAAAATTTTAAGTCCTGTAGTTGTATTGTGAACACAAAATAAAAACTATTATTTATAATACCAAATTAATAAACAACTCTTCAACGTGGTAATATTACTCTTTAGACACGATCACTTAATAAAATGGATTGCTTTCTCTAAAATTTGAATTTCTTTCAATGGGAATCCTCCTAAGTACAGTTTTGCTACCTGTGGGTAGAGGGAAAAAAAAGTACACACTTCTTTCTGAATTGAATTCTGAATTGAATCACTAGTGTTAACTGAGAGTGTCTGGTATTGTCTTTCAAACAAGCTAAATTAACATTTCTGCCTAGATTGGCAAAATTATTTGGTTTTTGATATAGTACCCCAGCCCCTCCATACTGCATGGTTCCATCGTGCTTTGTTTTAGCTACTCTTGCTCAAAGCTGTCAGCAACCATTAATATTGTCTGGAAGACTTGAAGAAGAAAAGTCATCCAAGAGTCTTAATGTCCCATTGTGTATCGGAGTTAATATATTTTATGTTACGTCTTCCAAAGAGTAATGCAGTATCACTTTGTCCTGTGTATTTCCCGAGATTTTAAAGAATTTTACCTCTCAGCATGGTGTGAAGTCTTTGTTTTGCATATATAAGTTTAACATTTACAGAAAAAATGATACACCTAAGATTGTAGTGTTACCAGTGATTCCAGAAATCAATTTAAACTTTTTAGATCATCTCCTTGTTGGGATAAATTATTTGGGGTGAACAGATTTTAAATCTTGCTACTTTTTACTTCATTTTTCTTTGCCCCTCTGGAGGAAAACACCAATAAGGAGCAATGTTAATAACCTTATTATTAAGTAGAGTAAGTTGTTTAAAAGCCTCACTCTTGTAGTAGCCAAAGCAATAGGTTAATTAACATAGGACTATGGTTATGGATAGCCTTTTTCTGGTGTTGGGATTGTTTAAGACAGGTTTGCCCTGGGCATCATATTAGAAATAGGAATCAAGTTCATAATCAAATAGAGCATAGCTATTTCTCCTTAATAACATGTTCTTTGCTCTCGATGTGATAAATCTCTATTTCTGTCTTCCTTTGGGTTTTTAAGATTTTCCTCATCTAATTTCTCTCTAATATTAACCTGCTTTTTATTCTGTAGCACTTTCTCTTTTTTAAAAAATTAGTTTTTTCCTTAGAACTAGCATCTTTTATTAGCTCTGCTTCTTGAATACCACAGTATCGCAGTATCATTATGCACAAACCCTGTTTCCCTAGCTTTTTCTGTGCTCTGAATGCCATTCATGATTCTGTGTTGTGTGGAGAGCTACTTCACTGTGTCCTGGAAAGGAGTCCTCCCTTACTCTGTGCTTTTGTGTACATTTTACATTGTTTTGTAACATCTGTACATTTCTTAAACACAGCAGTCTTCCTTTTAACATAATGTAACACTTACTTTGGATTTATGTTTCTTTGAAGTGGGAAATCAGCAAGAAGGTTTTAATTTGCCATGATGCACAGGGAAGAACCTTACAGGGGAGCAGGCTCTGTGCATGCTGACCATCAGAACAAGCCCATAAACAGGGATCCTGGTGGCTCAGTCACTGGAGCGTCCCACTCTTGATTTCAGCTCAGGTCATGAGCTCACAGTTCGTGGGTTCCAATCCTGTGTCAGGCTCTGAGCTGACAGCGTGGAGCCTGCTTAGGATTCTCTCTCTCCCTCACTCTCTGCCCTTCCACCTCCCTCACACACATGCACTCTCTCAAAATAAATAAATAAACTTAAAAAACAACAAGAAAAGAACAAGTCCATAAAAAAAAAACAAAAACAAAACTACTCGTGCTTTAAATGCAGAAATGATGGGTTTCTTGACACCCAATGGGACAAAAGAGTGCTTTCAATTCTGGTAGTAGCTATAAAAGACAAAACTGGTTGGAAATCTTAATAAAAATGATTAGAGAAAGAGAAGAAAGAAAAATGAGAGAATGGGAGTAAGGGATGGCCACAAGAGCTGACAGGAATAAATAGAATAATACAAAAACACGAGCTAAGTATTCTTGCTGAGGCCTGAAGCAGTGACCGTGAAAAACACAAGCAGCTCTCAGAGGAGAGGAAAAAATGCTTGTGCATAGTGGAGCTCTGCAGGGTGGAGATACACATTCCTGTTCCTAAGGAGGACGCCGTGTGCGCCCCAGGAACATACACCAAACGGGGGACTGGAGTCCCAGCACTTTGGCGGCCAGTAGAGGATGCCTGGAGGTACACTCCCGCCTCAGGTTTCCTACAGGGGGCGGCTCCTGAACCAAGGTCAGTTATTGACAAGGTCACATTTTATTCCTTATTCTTAGCTGTTTAAGCTATGAGATGTTATTTTTATCCAAAGAAACATCTCATTTTCATTTTTCCTCATTTTAATTTTTTTTATTTTTTTAAATTATTTTTTTCAACATTTATTTATTTTTTGAGAGACAGAGAGAGAGCATGAGCAGGGGAGGTGCAGAGAGAGGGGGACACAGAATCAGAAGCAGAGTCCAGGCTCTGAGCTGTCAGCACAGAGCCCGATGCAGGGCTCAAACTCATGAACCGTGAGATCGTGACCTGGGCCAAAGTCAGTCACCTAACCGACTGAGCCCCCCAGGCTCCCCTTTAATTTTTTATTCAAGTATAGTTGACACACAACATCTCATTTTTAAATAAAATGTTTTGCTCTATGAAGTCAAATAAGCCAAAATGGTGGCTCACGGGATAAATTTGTCCTGAAGACATCTTTTATTTGGCTTGTTTCAAAGGATTTGATTAATTGATTTTGCATGAAAGTCTTGATTTCTGGCTTTCCTAGAAAAAATGTTAAGCTTTGGCCACATTGGTAAAAAGAAAGCCACTTCTGGCTGCCTCCTTCTTCCTTGCACGGAACCTTATACACCACAGGAGGGAGATGTCATTTTTGCTGCACTTGGAATTTTGACAGACTATCTTTGAAGTTTGCTTTGCCTCATTTTGCAGTGATAACATTCAGCAATATCTGATGACCAATAACGTCCCAGAGGCAGCCTCTACTCTGGTGTCTATGGTGGAACTTGACATCAAGCTTCAGGAATCATCTTGTGCTCATCTTCTTGCTTTCACGAGAGCCACTGTTAAATTCTGGCATAAGATCCTCAAGGACAAACTTACAAGGTAAGGAATTCACCTGTTATTTCATGGTAGTGCTTTCACATGGATATTCGGTGACCATTATATTTTACTGAAATACATGTGTTGCTTTTTCTGTTACAGTGATTTTGAGGAAGTTTTAGCCCAGCTTCACTGGCCATTCATCACACCCCCCCAGTCTCAGACTGTTGGCTTGAGTCGCCCAGCAGGTGCCCCTGAGATATACAGTAACCTGGAGACACTGTTTTGCCAGCTTCTGAAACTGCAGACCTCGTATCTTTGTTGGAGATAAAACTTACTAAAATTGCTTTTTTTTTCGAGAGTGGATTTGTGGCTAGAGAGTAAAACTTTTTGAAAGGGACCAAGAAGCCAAACAGTAGTACTAGGTTTGGACTTGATCTGTATATACCCGCAGAGTGATGGATTGTGCCCTTCAGAGTGAATAGCGTTGGGGGGAGCGGGGTCAGTCTGAAATATATGACTGACCCAGGTTTATATCACATGTAGGTCTCTTGGGATGACAGAAAAAAAAAATGGGCAATAGGGAGGAAAGTTTAGTAATCTAGTGTTAATAAAGGAATTCTTGATTGTGTTTCCTTCCTCACTACTGTTTTTTGTGTTAGGAAAGACAGGGTAATTCTAATAACATATTTCATGTACTTTTTATGAAATCATATGCAATGTAAAATTATGTCTTATAATTAATTTTACTTAGTATCTTATATATTTGTTAGAAAAATATATTGTGTATCTGTACATACATACACGTGTGTGTGTATATATGTGTATATATCCATATATCCATGCATATATATTGTTTTGTATCCTTTTCTTTTTCCTTGACTTGACTATGTCAGAGATGAATTACTTACTGAGCCAAAACAACTTCCAGAAAAATACTGTCTTCCTGCATCCCCGTCTGTCATCCTGCCCATCCAGATTATGCTGACTCCCCTTCAGAAAAGGTTCAGGTATCACTTCCGAGGGAACCGACAGACTAATGTTATAAGCAAGGTGTGCTTTGCCAACTCTTGTCCTTTGTTGTTATTAATAGCAGTTGTTAAGCATCCCGATCCTCTTTCTGGTTTAAGTTAAAAGCCGATCCCATTCACATTTCTGTTTTTTCTCTGAAGAGCTAAATTCCTGTTTTGTCCTTGCCTTAATAGATCTATTTTGGGACTTGTGTTGATATGCCATGGGACTCCACTCACTCATTAGCACGTCATCTCACCAGTGTCTCAAGTTGCCCCTTGGGTGTGCTGTGACATTTGTTGGGGGCACTTGTGACAACTGGCTCCACGTGTTTCACTGTGCGAATTGCTCCTTCAGTCTTATATATATATCAGAGAGAGATGTGAAAGTCCACAGATAGTCAAGTATTCGCTTTTGAACAGAGTGCTGATGCTACCATGATTTATGGCTGAGGTGCCTGGGTGGCTCAGTTGGTTGGGCATCTGACACTTGGTTGGGGCTCAGATCACGCTCTCACAGTTCAAGCCCCGCATCAGGCTCTGTGCTAATGGTGTGGAGCCTGCTTGGGATTCTCTGTCTCCCTCTCTGCCCCTTCCCCACTCGTTCTCTCTCTCTCTGTCTCTCTGCCTCCCCTCCTCCCTCCCTCCCTCCCTCTCTCTCTCTCAAAAATGGATAACCATTTAAAAAATAAGTGAAAAGCTTTAAAAAATTTTAAAACATTAAATGATTTGTGTGTGTACAAGAAAGTAAGGAATGATGGGGATGGCTTTTAGGAAATTCTCACCATCTCACCAGCATTTTAGCTGAGGGATTACAGCCATATATGTTGGAGATACTCTGTTTTTTGTTTATTTCTTTTCTTTTTTTTTTTTTTAGAGAAAGAGGTGAATGAGTGAGGAGGAACAGAGGGACAGGGGGGCAGGGGAGAGAGAGAGAGAGAGAGAAAGAAAGAAAGAAAGAAAGAAAGAAAGAAAGAAAGAAAGAAAGAAAGAAAGAGAAAGAATCTTAAGTGGCTCCATGCTCAGTGCGGAGCCCAATGTGGGGCTTGATCCCAGGACTCTGAATGACCTGACCCAAAATCAAGAGTCGGACGCTCAAATGACTGAGCCACCAGGTGCCCCTATATTGGAGATATTCTTGAGATTTTTCTTTAACTTAACCAGAAAAACAATCAGGCATTTGTTTTTAATGAAATTTGATTGAATTCATTAAGAATTAGAACTCTGTTGCCAGGGTGTGGAGACTACCTTATTTATCCTTAAGTTTGCTACATTTAATGCAGTGCAAGTAGCAGAGTGGTTCATTTCAGTGTTTTGAATTATATGTTATTGCACCAGGCTTACCCCAGGCGTTGTATGTGGCATTTATAAATGAGTTTATGGGCTTTATAGAATTTTAAAGGGGTCAAGGGATAGGGAGTTATGTTTGCACGGGAAGGAGTTGAGTGGCAATTGCATTTCTGGGTCTTAAATTCAGTTTATTCTATTGTACTTTATGGATCTCCTCCTTTTTTGGATGAGGTGTTGGTGGAAAGAAGAATAGAACCAATTAGTAAGTAGCGAGACAAGGCAATAAACCTACAGCTGTAGAGAGGCAGTAAGAATTTGAGGTTAGAAAATTGTGAGTTATGTTGATTCCTTTCTTTTTTTAAAATTATTTTCTTAACTTTTTTTTAAATATTTATATTTAAGAAAGAGAGAGAGGGAAGGAGACACAGAGTATGAGCGAGGGAGGGGCAGAGAGAGAGGGAGACACAGAATCTGAAGCAGGCTCCAGGCTCCAAGCTGTCAGCACAGAGCCTGACATGGGGCTCAAACCTACGAACCCCAAGACCATGACCTGAGCCGAAGTTGGACACTTAACTAACTGAGCCACCCAGGCACCCCATGTTGATTGATTCCTTTCTAAAGTACATTTCCACTCTGTCATCAAGCCTAAACTACACAGCCCCTGAGATTAGGGATGCCCCTTACTCACTTTTGTATTTCTAGCATCTAGCACATAACAGGGATTTACCCTCAGTAAATGTTTTTGAATGCCTGTCCAACAAAACTTGGAAGGTTTGTAGAATCATCTCTAGGGACAATTTAAAAAGCTGCCTATTTACATTTACTTTTCTATGATTTTACCTGTTTTAAGGCATATTTTTTTCTTACTTTACCTTTTGAAAAGACAAACCAGAAGAAAATCAGGTTTAAAAGTTATTTTGGAATGTAATTTACAAAAAAACCAAACACAAAACAAAATTAAAGGCCATCAGTTCTTTGTAATGCTCATCATTTTACATATCTCCAAAGTGCTGTTTTCAACACATACAGTATTGTAAATTTATGAGTTTACTGACTTATGCCACCTTTGGGAATTTGTTGGGAGTACATTGGGAAACATCTGATTAAAGTTCAGAGCAGAAATTGTGTTCTTTTATAAGAATCTTCACCTAATTTGTGTAAGTGCTATGTGTATACAATTAACTAGAACCATTTAATTGTAACTTTCTGGTCAGAATGACTTAAGAATTCAGACTATTTTAACTTCCTTCCTTAGCCTGAATGGTACTTGGCTCAGGTACTTATGTGGATTGGGAATCACACTCAGTTTCTGGATGAGAAGATTCAGCCAATATTAGACAAAGTAGGCCCTTCGGTAAATGCAAGGGTAAGAAACTGTGTTCTTAAATTGTTCCAGTTTTAGAGTTGTGTGTGTCCGCGAATAATCTGTCATTTACCTTACCTCCTGCTTACATGTTTCTTTCAGCTTGAATTTTCCCGGGGCCTCATGATGCTCGTTCTTGAGAAGTTAGCTGCAGACATCCCATGTCTGCTCTATGATGACAATCTCTTCTGTCATCTGGTGGATGAGGTGCTTTTGTTCGAAAGGGAGCTGCACAGTCTTTATGGCTATCCCAGCACTTTTGCCAACTGTATGCATATTCTGTCAGAGGACACCTGTTTTCAGAGGTGGTTGACTGTGGAGAGAAAATGTAAGTGTTCAGTAGCCATCAAGTGGAGAGCATATTATCTCCTTTTGTGTATATTAACTTTTGGTGTTTTTCTCCACCCGCTCTGGGTAGAAACTAGAGTCATCTGGATTTTTCTTGGTTAAGGTTTACCAAGTTGCCTTTTCTTCCCATCAGACCAGTTTTTCTTGTACTTGCACCATCCACGTTTCTAGAATGGAAGAGTCAAGCCAGTATAGGATACAGCTAACTGTTTTATAGATTGTACCATAGTACTTCCTGTTCTTTGTCGTGTCTGTTGGATGTAGCTTGTCTCATCAGTTTAACTATTTTGAAGATTTTGGGTAGTGGTGGCGGGGAGAAGTAGGGAATCTTGTTCAACCCTAACACAGAGCGTGTTAAATATAGTGCAACCGGTGGGAGGTTGTAGATTTGGTTTTTTGTTTGTTTGTTTTTTACAGAAAAACCATTACTCCTAAAAACTTGTGCTGAAAATTAAGAATGACTGTAACTACTTAATTGACCTGTTCCCTTTTTCTGCATATCAGTTGCTCTTCAAAAAATGGACTCAATGCTTTCATCAGAAGCTGCTTGGATATCCCAATATAAGGATATCACTGATGTGGACGAGATGAAAGTTCCAGACTGTGCAGAAACTTTTATGACGCTACTCTTGGTTATAACTGGTAAGTATAAGTCTTTCAAGATACAACTTTCTTTTAGGTAAGCTTTTTTTTTTTTCTTTTGAGAGAGAGAATGAAAGAGAGAGTGAGCGCATGCGTGCACACAAGTGGGGGAGGAGCAGAGACAGATAGGGACAGAGGATCCAAAGTCCAGGGCTCGAACTCACAAACTGTGAGATCATGACCTGAGCTGAGGTCAGACGTTCAACTGAATGTGCCACTCAGGCGCCCTGAAGAACTCGTGCTTTTTAAAACATTTTCTATTTGGGAAATTTTCAAACATACACAAAAGTGATTGTGATACCATGAAGCCTCAGGTATCTGTTATGAAAGTTTAAAACAATGATCACTTCTATTATATTTTTTTCTCCTAGAGTATTTTAAAGAACATTTCAGGCATCTTATTTCACCTGTAAATTCTTAAGTGTATAAGTCTTCTAACCTGTCATAGTTTCTCCTTCCTTTAAAAAAGAAGTCATTTTTCTGGGGCGCCTGGGTGGCGCAGTCGGTTAAGCGTCCAACTTCAGCCAGGTCACGATCTTGCGGTCCGGGAGTTCGAGCCCCGCGTCAGGCTCTGGGCTGATGGCTCC